GGAGGGGCTGGTGTGGCACCGCAGCCCTCCAGCAGCCAGGTTTAGGGTGTGAATGGGAAGGGGGGTTGTCCCCACATGCAGACCAGCCACACGTTTGGATGCGCTTGGGGACAAGGGTCACTGCAGACCTAACACCTCATTTTCACCCCCAAAAATCACTTCACCCCCCAAAAGCGGGATGCTGAGGGGTCACCCTGCAAGGAGTGGGCGGGAGCACCGAGGGCAGCTTGCCTGGCAGCAGAAGCACCGGCACCGGCCAAATATGACGAGCGCAGCACGTAGGCAGTGAGCTCCACTCAGGGACAACCTGACTTCTCCAGTGGAGAGGGGAGGAACCGTCCCAGAGCAGCCTCAGGCCACAGCGATTGCTCCATTAACCACCTTCACCACAAACGAGCCCCGATGACGAACGACGAGGATGACGCTTGCTTTGATCACTCTCCTCCCAGCGAAGCTGTGAGGTCTGGCATGCCCAAACGGCAGCTCCCCACTTCCCTGACAGGGACAGGAGTGACTGCTGCCACCGAGCAGGCTGTCGAGGCAGCCTGGGAGAGGGCTTGCCCTCAGCACAAGGGCAAGATGCAAACAAGATGACGGGTAGGTCTCTCAGGGCCCTGGCTGTCCAGGGACATCTAGTACATTATAAATCACGCTGGCCATTTAAGCGCAGCTGGGTTTAATGCAAAAAGGCAAGAACTAGGTCATTTGAGGAGTTAAAGGCATCAGCACTCTTCACCCAAGTGATGAGGGACAAACTGTGCCCCTTCCCACCAAGGTCAAGTCAATAGGCACGTGGACACCATCCCCAAGGAGCATTCCTTCCCGGCAGCACGATGCAGCTCACAGGGGCTTGGGTAAAGAGGGGACATGGAAAGGCTGCACTGCCCCACACAGCACCAGGGTCCGCAGCTGAGTGTCACAGAGGGCTCGTGTCCTGCATCTCGGGAGCCATCATCCTGCCCGGGCAGGCTTTGCATCTCTCCACGCGCAAGCGAGCTTTGCCCAGCATCTCTTTCGCTTCCTGCGCACTGCGTGGATTTGTGGCTGCAAGAAGGTTCCCAAAGAGCAGAGTGCTTTTGAAAAGCAGCCCCTGCAGCATCAACCAGCACTGGAGGCAAGGGAGCCATTTCACGGGTCCAGTGAAGCGGGAAGGCGCGGGGGGCCCATGGCCCTCCTCCTGCTCCGCAGGGCTGACAATGCAAGCCGTGAACCAGACGTAATGGAGCAATGCCCACAGTCAGTTGTTCTCACTACGTTTGCTGAACCCCATCCGCAACTTACACGTCCTAGAGGGATAATTGGTTTTATTTGGTATGTCACAATGTCGTCATTTGTATTTAATGGCTTTATAAAATCTTAGTAAATGCTGCTTTTTCAGTCAAACGTCACCCCTGATGCCTGTGCAAACTGGACAGCAACATTTGGCTTGTTTTCTACCTGCAAAACACACAGGGGCCTTTTACTCTGACGTCAAGTTTCCTTAAGCTGCTCTAATGCCTGCGGGGGCATGTCGGGGTGAGAGTACAGCTGGGCAGTCAGGATCTAGGAGAGAGTAATTTCTGTTTCACCTAAGGCTGCACTGAGCTTTTCTTTGGGCCTCCTGAGCACCAAGTCAGATGCTGCATGCGCTAACGAGGACCAGAAGTCAGGAGTTGAAGATAAATTAAGAATTTGACATTGACCTTCACAGTCTGCACCAGACAGTTCTTGGTGATCATTTCAAGCAGTGTCTTCCCGACAGACTTCATAAAAACAAATCTTTGTGGTAGAAACTGCCTTCAGAGGCTGCTACACACAAACAGAGGCTGGCTGAGGGTCAGTCTGACAGGGAGCCACCGCCTAAGCAGTGACCTTTCTAGCTGTCAGCAGGCTTTGCCATCCCCCTTCGATCGAGAGCACAGCAGCACCTCTCTCCACAGCCCTGCTCAGTTTTGCTTTGCCGATTCCCCCGCAGCTCCCACCAAACAGCCCCAGTGACAGGAGACTGGTACCGATGCCAACGGAGCCTGCTATGCAAGCAGGAAAGCTCCCCGAGAGACAGATCAGGTGCTGCCAGCCCCGGCGTGACGTGCACGGCCAGGGGCGATCTCAGGAGCTATGGGGGCAGCCAGCAGCAACCCTGCCCAGCCCCTCCGCAAGGGAAGCGCAGCAGGAAGTGAGAGGCTTTGGTTGTAACCAGGCACATGTGGGCAGAATGGCGCTGTGGGTCTGGGGCCAGCTGGTGGTCCCAGGGTGGTTTGTCATGGGCACCATCACTCCTCCTGCAGCTCCTTCTTCCGAAAGGCCTGCAGCCTCCTCCCCACCGTCTGCTGGACTATCTCCAGACCCTCCGCGTCCAGTTCCTTCGTAAGAAGCAGGATGGCATTCAGGACATTGTTCTGTCGGGACAAGACAGACACTGCTTTATATACAAGCATGTTAACGCCAGCCTGGAAAAGAACAGTTGATTTTCAAAGAGCTGCTCTTTCTAGGAACCCCACCACCGTCACCACCACCGGCAGCGGTTTGCAACAGCCACTTTGCAGCTACAGGGACGGATCAACCAGGCCCTCGGGGCAAACATGGGCAGAAACTGCATGTGGCTAACTGGAATGCGGGAGAAACCCGTCCGCCCAGCCCGGCACAGACTGCCCACGTGCCTCTGGCTCCTGGCCACCCTCCCAACAGGCTTCTGTAAGGAAAGGCACATTCAAGAGCGGCTGCCCTCTCTCTCCAGCGGACCTGTATGTAGGATGGTAACCCTCTGATCTGAGGAATAAGAAGAGCTGGTAGAATCACGCAAGCACAAGCTGGAAGGAACCCTTGAAGGACCCCAGCCCAACCTCCCACCGACAGAGGACTACTGCCAACATCAGACCATGGCTCTGTCAAACCATGTCTGAAAAACTCCAGGGAGAGATTCTGCACCCTCTCTAAATAACTGTCCTTCTAGGGAAAAATCTTATGCCTAATGTCCAACCTGAACCTCCCCTTGTTTAATATTTTATTTTCCCAAAGGCCACAGCCTGCAGTACTACTCACGGTGCTGCAAAGCAATACGCTCAAGTATGTTTAAAACATGAACAAAAGAGAGATCGCAGGCAACTAATATCAAAATGAGGCAGAATGTGGTCTCGATCTCTCCCTGCCAATTGAAGTGATGGCACTGAGCCCAGCAGACAGCAATTCCCAGCTGAACAGCCAAGATCCATGAGGTTCACCCAAGGCTACACCATGGAGGGGTCTGAGGAACCAAAACTTTCAATTCAGCAGTCTCCTGCCCACCAGGCAAACAGTCTGCCAGCTGCTTTTCAGCCACTGCCCAACTATCACGTGTTCTTAGCAAAACCCCAGTGAAGGGACATGCATGAGCTTGTGTGCAGACAGGTCCTTAGCTGCTCCTCATAGGACATAGCCCTCCTCCGGACATATTCAAGGACCTTCACATCCTTCTTTCACTGCATCCATCCTTTCACTGCAAGGACTTTGAGTTGCTGGACTGTGTCCAGAGAAGGGCAATGAAGCTGGTGAGGGGTCTGGAGAACAAGTCTTACAAGGAGCAGCTGAGGGAACTGGGGGTGTTCAGTCTGAAGAAGAGGAGGCTGAGGGGAGACCTCATCGCTCTCTACAACTACCTGAAAGGGGGTTGTGGTGAGGTGGGTGTTGATCTCGTCTCCCAAGTAACCAGCGATAGGACGAGAGGAAACTGCCTCAGGTTGCGCCAGGGGAGGTTTAGACTGGATATTAGGAAAAATTTCTTTACGGAGAGAGGGGTCAAGCATTGGAACAGGCTGCCCAGGGAGGCAGTGGAGTCACCATCACTGGAGGTGTTCAAAAAATGTGTAGACGTGGCACTTCAGGACACGATTCAGTGGGCATGGTGGTGTTGGGTTGATGGTTGGACTTGATGATCTTAAAGGTCTTTTCCAACCTTAATGATTCTGTGATTCTTAAATGGTGCGGCCCAGAGCTGCACACGATGAAAGGCAATTTGGTCTTTAAAAGATACTCACTCTCTTCTTTCGGTCGCAGTCTGTCTCTCGAGGTGAAAAAGATGAAAATTTATCCCTGGGAACAGGCTTCATACCAAGCTCCTCTCGAATTTTGCTAAAGAAGGGGAAGAAGAGCAAATGTTATGATGACCAGCTGGCAGAACCTTCCTCTGCCAGGCCAATCCTTTCTAACCCTGGGCAACCATGCAGAAAGTATCTAGCTGAAGGACTTGAGGCACGTCTGCTCATACACCACCACTGCCTACAGAGCACAACACCCCAAGCAAAACTCCCACAGGTAGCAAGAGCCTCACAGCTATAAAATGTAAACGATTACGCTGCCTCAAGGTGTCTGCTCGCAGCCCCACCTGGGATGCCAGATTCCCATGCCTGATGCTAGCTGGAACTGCAGACCGTGTAACGCTGCACTTGAACAAGACGTGCCACAGCGCAGACATGCGCTAACGCACATCGCATTGGACCAGAGCTCACACTTCAGAGAGAATCCATCTCGGTCTGCACATGCAGCTCGAGAGTAAGTACCCACCTACAGAAGAGCTTGTTTTGCAGATACCGAACCAGACCCACAAGTGCTATTAAACCAGCACAGCTCCACCACGGTAACTGGAACAACGGGAATTTGCTCCAGCTGTAGGCCTGGCCCATGGAATATCAGGGTTGGCTGGCATGGTCCTTTCATGCTACACGAGTCCAACCCAGAAATCCTAACAGCTCATAAGCAAGATCTCACTTTGTCTCCTCCAGACTGTTCAGCAGTTCACTCTCGGTCTCCGTTGTGGATTCAGCAGCACTGGATTCAGTGGCCTCCGGGCAGCCGTTCTCCACGCTCCTCCTGGATGGTGGGGCCGTGATCTCCTCACCATCAACCAGGGCCTGGGATAGTTCTTCCTCTGTCACAGCTATAAAAGCCAAAACAAAACCCTGCTGCCATGAACTTCAGCAGCCCAGGAAGACAGCATCTGTAAAGGGGCATGTACTGCTGCTGCAGAGCTATACCGCAGGGGTTTGGTCCAAAAACTGTCCTTTGTACTGGCGTTTTGCTTTCATCCTCCTCCTGCAGTAAAACCCGCACAGGAGAACGCTGGCAGCTGTCACCAGTCTTTAAAAGTGGGAAAGGTATCAGGGAGGGATGCAAACATGCTTTGCTGTTTCTTGTCTCTAGAGAAGGCTCCAAAAACCACCAAATTACTGCTACCAGATGGAAAAGCTTCTCTTTTTTTTTTTTTTTTGTAATGGCGGCAGATCCAATTACAGAATCTTTGTTTTGCCACAGCAAAGGAAAGCGCTCTAAAAAACCACTAATTAGTGGTACTGTCTCAGCTATAACGAGGCTCACTCAGCTACTGTTAACTCTGGCCCTGCAGGGAAGGGAGAAAACAGCTTAGAAACGGTGGATCTTGCAGAGGGGATGCTCAACCTCTAACAGATCCCAAGTTGAGGAAGAGTCAGAGGATGCCTTAAAGAGAGGAACCAACACGTCACCACTTTCCAGTTCACCCTGCCCATGGCTTGGGGCTGTTCCTTTACCTGCAGACACCCACCTTGGTTATCAAGCTTCTGCAGGCTGGGTAGGTTACGCAGAACCGTCATTCGGTAGCGGTGGGGGTCTGACCCACAACAGGGATTTTCAGACAGCCACAGGACCCTCAGCCGGGGTAGATTTTTGAGGTAGAAGAGCTCATTTAGGCTTGTAATGTTGTTCTTCCTCAGATAGAGTTCACTCAGGTTCTGGCACTGATTCAGCGGCTCGAGGTCCGAGATGCCGTTCACGCTGAGGAGAGATTGTAGGATCAGAGACCAGCGAGCCCATCCCTCCCTCGCTGCGGCATTCAGGTGGGAGCAGAGCAGCCCCTGTAGCACAGCGGCTCTTCAGCCCCCTCTCCTGCAGCAGCTTCACTGAGGAGCCTCCCCCCAGCACAGCATGGCAAGGGACCTTCAGGGGCCTATGGCTTATAGCATTTCATCTTTCTAAACAGAGAAAAGAATTTTAAAAAGCAGGCTCTCCTCTCTGCTGAAGATGACAAACAGCCTTTGCTTCCCCCAAACACCCATCACACTTGCACCCTTTTCTGTAGCAGTTCCTCAGACTCACTGAAGGACAACCCATATAAGATTTCCAAGCTAAAAAGCTCAAATTCACAGACAGCATTGGCTCCATGGGAACCCCAGGACAGGGGAAGGATGGGTGTGCTGCGGGGAGGCTTAGGGCAATGAAAAGCTCTGTGAGATCCAAAAAGCATTTCAACAAGCATTCTGCAAACTGGGCCCATAAAGAGGCCTAGAAGATCCCATCTAACCTACAGAACAGGACTTGGGGAGCAACAATCCTAAAGAGGTTTTAACACCTCTCGAAACAGGGATTATTTTCTTGAGTCGCAAAGCAAAAGGTGCAGAGGAGCTGGCAGAAGAATAATCATTTCTGTATCTCTGACGCTTGAGAAATCAGGTAAGAGAAGCCAGGCAGCTCAGACACACAACAGAAAGGTGGTAAGAAACCAAGAAACCAAGGGCCCCACGAGAAAGGCCATTTCCCCTGCCCTCAACACAGCCAGCACCCTGGCATTCACCTGAACGTGATCACCTCGATGTTGGGCAAATCCCGGCATATCGATATCTAGGCAGGACAAGAGAGAAACAGCAAGTTGGCACTCGCAGAAAAAAAACGTATAAATAAATAAAAGCAATGTAAACCACAAACAAACAAGATAAAAGGCAAGAACAGGAATTTAGGTTTGCTTCAGCCTAACCCAAGCTTAACACCACCAGAGAGATTTGCTGCCACAGTCAGTGCAGACTCAGCAGCTCCTCCGCCC